CCTTACTGCCTCTATCAGAAAGAGACAGGAAGGGGGGGGGTGCTTCTTGGGGTCTGGCCCCGGGATCCATGCAGTGCTGCCACTGTGAAACTCCGCGGCGAGCGGGGACTGCTTGAGTCACCTGCCGGCTCCACGCTCCCTGCAGCGCTTTCGGCTTTGAAGTGTAGGCCTGGGGCTGTTGGGATACTTTAGTCGGTAAGGGCACCTCCCCCTCTGATCGACTAATCGATGCAGATTGCATCGACTATTCGATTAGCCTGTTAATCGACATTTTACATCCCTAGTGGGGTGTAGGTGAGGCATGCGGGCCCTGGGAAGGAGTTTGGGGGCGGGATGGGGCTCCGTGCTGGGGCAGAGGGTAAGGGCGGCTCCGGGCTGGGGCAGAGGGCAATTGGATGGGCCCCTTTGAGGCTACATTGCTCAGGCTTTGGCTTCAGTCCAGGTGGCGGGGCCGAGGCGTCCACCCCATGCAGTATGGCTTCTGCCCTCTGTCCTGGGCCCCAGAAAATCTAACACTAGCCCTGCTGGGTGGACCCCACCCCTGAAACCTGCATACAGCCCCCCAGGAGCTCCCTGGTTGAGAACCGCTGCTTCTTGAGGCTACAGCTGGAGCTCCCCTAAGCACCATTGTCATTTGCAAGTTCCTGTTCCAGAAGCAGTGGGTTCTGGGATATTTTGAAATGCCACCAGAGGGCAGTTGCCAGAAGCCCTAGTGGAGATGAACTGAATGGGGAGGACTGAGAGCAAAAGTTACTTGCTACTGGGAGAGAAAAGGTAACAGTGGAAGGACTGGAGTTTCTGAGCCCTCAGGTCATGCTGGGATTACACTGGTTTAGAGGAAGCTGCCCTGCATTCAGACCTCCTGAAAGCTAGTTTAATCTGAACTATATTTGGAGCACTTTCCCAGGGGGAATCCAATGTTTCATTAGTATGTTGGGGGGCAACCAAATGACTTAAGGCTGGTAAATTTCTTGAGTGTAGGTGAAATCCAAAGGGAACCCCACTCATTCACTTTCCCTTTTCTACAGAGCTGCAATAGGACAGTAAATCAGGGAATGCACAAGTTAGGATGAAGGAAGAAATCTTCTTTTCAATCGTGACAGATTTTCTTCACTCCTAATTAGGAAATGGGTGAAAGCTGATGTCAGCTGTGCAGATTCTGAGAATCTGGTTGGGTGTGTGGAAAGGAGACTTTCTCCCAGCTGAAGAATGTGTGTGAGGGAGCAACAGAGGTACCTGCTGTAGTCTGCAGAAAAGAGATTTAAAAGGGGGTTGTGTGGGGGGGAGGGGAGGTGTTAAAGAGTTGGTGAAACAATTGGGAAAGTTCTGAATCAATGGCTGGATACTTAACAGCTGTTGAAATCCACCATCCAGGGCACAAAAGGATGCGCATGTTGGAGATTAAGGGGTAGTAGTTAGCTCTGGAATGAAAAGTCTGCTGGTGGCTGTGAGGTCCCAATGAAGGGGAGATAACAATGAAGATTAGAAGGCTACTAGGCTGGAGGGAGCCGATTTCGCTTGGTTGCATCAGGAAATCCCCCTTCAGATTATAAATTGTAAGCAGGAGAATCCTGATCAGTGTGGGGTAAAGCACTACGGGGTTATGTCTACACCCGCGGCTTCTGGCACAAGTACAGCTGTTCTTGCGCAAGAATCTGTAGAGCGTCCATACTGCCCGCCCGCTCTTGAGCAAGGAAATTTACAGTACGGCATAGTAAGAGAGGGCTTCTTGCACAAGTGATACACCTGATAAAAAAGAGTGTAAGCCCTCTTGCGCAGGAGCTCTTGCACAAGAAGGCAGTGTGGACACTCGGCAGGGATTTCTTGCGCAAGAAAGCCCTATGGCTAAAATGGCCATCGGAGCTTTCGTGCGCAAGAGAGCGTCCACACTGCCATGGGCGCTCTTGCGCAAAAGCACAGCTCGCACATGGCAGTGTGGACGTTTTCTTGTGCAAGACTTCTTGCACAAGAACCCTTGTGCAAGATGTTCTTGCTCAAGAAGCCACCAGTGTAGACATAGCCCGTGAGCCTAACGTGGTCTGTTTTTTTTGGCTCTAGAATCGGTCAGGTGAAAGTGACTTCCCGGAGGTTTGTCTACCTTTGAGCCTGTGTGGAACTGCAAGTGTCTTCCAAATTCTGGTAGCGAGGTGGTGATGCCTGTCCTGCTCCCCACCCCTCACTCCATGCCAGTACACGGTAGTGAACTAATCTTTTGAAGCAGTGGAGTGGAAACAATCTACTTTGTAAATCTGAGAGTAGGGTGTGCTGGGGAGGAAGCGCTGCGCATGGGACCCACGGGCATAGGCTGTTGTGTAGCCACCCCAGGACTTGTGTAGAAGTAGGGGGATGTATCAGGATTGAGAGGCATCAGTAGAACTGTCTGAGCAGCCCAGAACTGGAATAGGAAGGGGGCGCAGCAGGTCAGAATAGATGAACTGGCTTGCTCGGGCAGTTGAGGACTGGAGTAACTGGCCTGCGGCAGGTCAGGAATGAGGTGCCTTGGGTGGGACAAGACAGCAATCAAGGGTAGCGGGAGGGAGTTATGGACAGCAGCTCACCACTGCATGCCTGTCTCCCTGTGAAGCGCACCAAGTTTCAGTTGGATAAATACCCTGAAATAGCGAGTGTCCCATGCAGGCCTTGGCCAGAGCAAGTGAAATGGCTTCTTAACGCAGTTGTACTTTGCATCATGCTGAGCAGCAGGTTCCAGTTGCCCGTCCTGATGTTCCCTCTCGCTAAGTTAGCTGGGCATGGGCCCACCTCTGGGGAGGCCGGGTGGAAGATGATACCCGCCTTGAGGCACGGTAGCACCGGGGTCAGAGCCGATGCCATTTCGCTGCACGTAGAAATGGCATCTTGTTTCAGTGCTGTAAAAGTAGGTGCTGATGTGACCCTTTCCGCAAGCGTGGGGGTTATCTGAGAGACCGTGCTGCTGTGGGCCTCTCTGCTGTTTGTCCTCCCAGCTGTGGGGCAGGGTTATTTTACACGGCTGCCCCTTGGCTTGTACTAAACGCTGCAAAGGCCTTGCTACTGATCTATGAGCTGGCAGCTTGCAATGTGGCTCAGGATATAAATAG